ACGTAGTTCAGGGTAGAGCTCAGGAATATTAGTGACTCTGAAACAGATGGTGCATGAACAAGTCTTAGCTCCCACAGAGCTGAGTAATCACTGTTCTGCACAACACTCAAGAAGAAAGGACCCTTGGAGGGTTAGAGGTAGCTAGTCCAATCCCTTCAGTTAGGAAACTGAGGATACCCAACACCGTGGCACATGCTAAGACATTGCTGCTCCCAGGCTGAGGCCACATAGGAGGCCCGGATTCAAATCTGGGCCTACTCTCAAAGCCAGAAACGATGGTGTACACCTATAGTCCCAGCTGCTCCATGATCTGACTGGTGACAAAGGTGCCAGCCCCCAAGGCTATATGATTCTACCTATATGAAGTTCAGTAACAGGTGAATGTAGCCTGTGGTGACACAGGTCAGCATAGCAGTAGTTCGGGTAGAGGAGAGGGTACTGGGGGGTGGGGGGGAGCCTGAGGGAGCTAGCCAGGGGGATGGAAATGAGTGCCTTTATATGGACAGTGATGACACAGTATATCCATATGAAAACTTTGGAGTGCACAGTTAAGATTTATGAGCTGGGATAACTCCATGGTATAATTCCATCCTCAAGAGAAACTAATTCCCACATGGCAACCATGGTTCAAATCCCTGGCCTGGCCTGGCCTGCCTAAAACATGGTAGGTATGCACGTGAATGCCCAAGAGTCAATTCAATGGAAGACTGGAGGAAGGGGATTGCAGCATGACCAGACCCTGGGGGGGAGGGGAGGTGCTCCTCTCTCTCACACACTCTCTCTCTCATGCAATGCCCTATCGCCAATAAAGAAAATATTTTTAAAAAATAAAAAGATTTATGACCTTAGGGAAGGTACCTTTCCTCTAGAAGTTCTGAATTCTTCATCTGTAAAATGGGGACCATACTCCCTCATAAGTTTATATGCAAAAAAGACCTAGCACACAGGCAGTGAGTAAATGCTGATGGTAAAAGGAGGTAAGGGAGAAGGAACAGGCCTCAACGATAATAAAGAAAAAAAATAACAGCAACAACAACAATCATCTAGCTTCCGTTTTGGAGTGCTCAACATCCACCAGGCACTGTGCTAAGCACTGTTGGTACGTTCACTCCTATAAGTCGTCTAAACATCCCTTAGAGTACAGCACAGGTTGAACATCCCTAATCCAGAAATCTAAAATCCAAAATGCTCCCAAATCTGAAATTATTTTAAGCATCAACATGATGCCACAAGTGAAGAATTCCACACCTGACCTCAAGTGGCAGGTCACAGTCAAAATGCTACAATATAAAAGTACTACTTAAGATTACTTTCAGGCTATGTGTACAAGGTACATACGAAACATAAATGAATTTTGTGTTTAGACATGGGTCTCATCTCCAAGATACCCTTAAAAATTCTGAAATCCAAAACACTTCTGATGCTAAACCATTTCTCCAAAATGGATTACTGACCCTTGATGAAAGGTAGAGAGAGAAGGGGAACAGTCAGTGTCTGGACACCAGGCAAAGCTTCTCAGCTGGCCCCCCAACTCCTCTCAGTAGTTTCTGAGGTGGGCGTCCAGATGGCTCCAGGTTCTACTGCAGCCCATCTCCCTGGGATGGAGATGGAGAAGGTAGAAGACCAAAGACTTTGGGGTCATGTAGACCTGGATTCAAATCCTAGCTTTGCCCCCTGCTAGCTGTGTGACACTGGGCAAGTTGTTTAACCTCTCTGAGCTTTAGCTTTCTCATCTGTAAATACAGTGAACACACATCACAGGACCAAGCGGTACAGAGTGAAACTTATGTGTCACATGCCTGGCATATAGTCGCTTAAATTAGGTTGCCGGGAAAGTCAGGACAAATTTTTATATATTTTTCTAGGCAAAAATGTGTCATGAATTTCCCAACAACCCAATAATAATTATAATGCTACTCTTTTGCCAAATAACTCTGATACCTGTGTGCCCCATTCTGCGTGTCCACAGAAAACAATCAAGACTCTCCTCTAGCCGTGCCTCACAGAGGTCAACCCAGGGCAACCAACCCCAAGAGAACAAGTATCTGTAGGGGTCACTGAGCCAGTGACACAGTTAAGGGCTTCTGGCTCTAGGGCCCTCGCCATTGGCTCTGGTAGGGTCAGGAGAGTATCTGTGTAGAGTGCAGCCTTTGGCTTCTGTAGGGATGAAATTGGATGGGACATCACTTTTGGCTTCTCCTGAATAGCCTTAAGGAGGAGGAGGGCCTTGCCTGCTGATCGGGAAGGATCCCAGAGGCCTGGCCTCTGCCAGGTTCCTGGCGTTTACTTGCTTCTGGTTTATTTACCCATTCACTAATTTAAGGAAGTCTACTGAGGGTCTGCTCAGTACAGACCGCTGGTTTTATCTGCACGGCATTGATTGTAAAGAGGGGTGGAGGCAGAGCAGACGACCCAGGCCTCAGAGGGCACACACAGTGCACCCCAGTTTCCACTGCTCACCTCCCCCTCTGCCAAGGGCCCTCGCTAAGCAGCTACACCAGAGCATGTCTCTGTGCTTGCACTCGTAGTGGAAGAGCAAAGCCACCTCTAGGGAGCTCCATCCAGCTTGCTGGCTCTAGAGAGGAATGGATTTGGGGGTGTTGCTGGAGTGAAAATCCCACCACTGCTGACCGCAAGTAAACACCAGGAACCTGCCAGGGGTGAGGCCTCTGGGATCCTTCCTGATCAGCAGGCAGAGACCCTGCTCCTCTTCAAGGCTGTTCAGAAGTCAGAGGTGATCTCCCATCCAATCCCATCTATACAGAGCCAAAGACTACACTCCGCCTGGACACTCTCCTGCCCCTACCAGGAGCCAACAGTGAAGGCCCTAGGGCCAGAGCCCTGAGCTATGTCACTGGCTGAGTGACCTCCACAGACACTTGCTCTCTCGGGCTTTGTCTCCCCATCTGTAAAGCGAGGGCTGAATGATCCATCTGTTCATTCTCTTCCCTTACCCTAAGCAGCAGAGCTCTTCCAGGAAAGCCCAGCAGGCAGCTTAGCGGGTGGCAGAGTTGCTCTGGTAAAGCAGGGTGGGGCCCTGTGTCCCTGTGGCTTCCCACCCACCCTCACACACACACCCCAAAACTGCAGCTGGGAGTTTTGGGCACTGCTCCCTAAGTCAAGGGACAACGGTTCTCCCTGAAACCCTCCACTCTCAGCTGCATTCCCGCTGCAGCTCTGCGTATTCTGATGCAGCCTCTCCTGGTACGGAGTAGTGGCTCAGGGAGGTCAGAGCCTCCATCCCAGCTCTTACTAGCTGTGCAACCTTAGGCAAGTTAACTTCCCTCTCTGAGCCTCTGAGTCTTCATCAGCAAAATGTAGACAAAAAGACGGCCCCCATAAGTTTATTAAGGAGAAGGTGGCCCCACACAAGAAGTTAAGCATTCAGTAAATGTAATGGTAAAAAGAGATAAAGGAGGCATGGACAGGGTCCAAAGATGATAAGGAAAACAGCAGCGACAATGGAGCTGGCAGGTGGCACGGTGGTTAAGAGAGATGGACTCCCACATGGCCGACTGTGGTTCGATTCTCGAACCTGGTGGCTTGCTTTCTGGCTTTCTCTCTCTCTTGCTCATTCACTCACTCACTCACTCCTCTGTCCCTCTCTGGTCAAATTAAAATAAATAAATAAAGCTAAATAAAATAATTATTTAAAATAAAAAAAAAAAAAAAAAAAAACAGCAGTGACAACAATCCTGCTACTATTCTGGAATCCCGACCGCACACCAGGCACTGTGCTAAGCACTTTAAGCACTTTTTGCACACCAGCTCACCTCCTCCTCACAGTGCCTCTCAGAGACAGGTAATACCAATGCCTCCATTTACATAGCCAAGCCCCACTAGCAGGCCTGTGCAGCCACACCCCTGGCCACTCCCCTCTCCCCTCTGGCTCATTGCTGAGTTAAGGAAAGGCTTTTCTTTTCTGGGCCATTTTCCCATTTCCCCACTAGGACCTTTTGATCATCTTCACGTGCTGCCTGGGAGGAAATGGGGAAGAACACTCACCTCCACTGAATCTGGCCCTTTCCATTCCTTCTCCCACCCAGCTGGCACATAATGTTACTGCTCTCCTCAAAACCCTCCAGGGACTCCCTAGTTCCTCCAGGGCCATGGCTAAGACCTGCCCCCACCTTTTCTCCTCACGTGCTCTGAAGAACCCTGCCCCAGCCCAGCCCAACTTCACCCACTCCCTTCCCCTTCCTTGCAAGGCCACGACTTCCTCCTCATCATGTGGGAAGCTGGCTGTGGCAGAGATGAGCACTTCTTGGAGGTTCCTGGGGGGGCTCACTCCTACCCCTCTCGCTGCCTGAGATGTGGCTATATGGATTCAGTTGTGTGTCTGACTCCAGTGCTAGCGTCTGGTCCCCTTGGCACCCTCACACCTTCCCCAGCACAAAGCAGGACTGTAAGCATGCTATGGAGAAAGCACAAACCCACCCCTTCCTAGCAGATGCCGACGTAACCAGGCAGCAGAAAATGGGGCACAGGCTCCACCTGGTTTTAGACTCAAGGTACCTGAGGTGGAAGAGCTGCTCCACCCTTTTCCCCGAGCTCTGAAGCTGATCCAGTGGCTACTGCTGTTGTCTTTTTGCCTGACATCTAACTAGAGATCTGGGTACTGGCAGGAAGTGGGGGGCCGGAGGGAGGAGATGGAGGACTGAGGTTGGGGCCCCCCAGAGGCAGCAGGATTAAGTCTTGTGGATTTTGCACCACTGTTCTCTGGTTACTCAGCTGCACAGGGGTCAAAAATGCATGAGGAAAGACTGGCCACTGCTTGTCCCGGCAGGAGCCATGGTCCCCACATCCCACAGCATGCAGACGGTTGGACTCCACAAACTGGAAGAATCCTTCTTGCTCAAGGAATGCAAAATTCTTCAGGTTAACAGCCACATTTAGACAGTGGAGCCAGATCCCAAGGTGTCGCCGGGACGCATGGCCCCTATGGGCAGCCCTGGCCATGTCCACACACCCCACCAGCAGCTTTGAGTGGACAACCTCACCTCGTTGACATCAATCTTGTTCCTGTCCATGTAGCTTCTGTCGTTGACCTGCCCGCCATCCACAAACTCCATCAGAAGGACCCGCTTGGTGGACAGGTCCCAGTAGATACGGGGGACCTATGGAGGAAAGACCAGGTCAGAATGGGCTGGGGAGGCTGAGTCAGGGACAAGGACCACAACGAGGGGCAGCAAGCCAAGCAGCAGGTGCTCCTTCCCAAAATAGGAGAGAAGAGGCCCAGGGACCTCAGACGTGACGGGGGCAGAGAACGGGGGGTGGGAGGAGGCTCTGGCACCAGGCCACTTCACCTCTACCAGTAAGGCCCCCGGCCCACTCCTTTAGAGTCTGCCTCCATTTGGAGACCAGAGAACAGTTTCCCCCCACTCTCCTCAATGCCTTCTAGACTTGGTTAAGCACCAAAATTTAAACTGGGACTAGGGAGGAGAAGGTGTGAAATGCTTATTCCTGGCAGTTGATGATAGAAGCTATTTCTCTCTCTTCATCCACCACCAGGCCCACTTCTAGCTCCTGTCCAGACCTTAACCCTCTGCCTCGGTTTCATCAGCTGGGTCACAGATATCTTGTATGTATAGAATGGAGTGAATGAATGCTTGCCAGATGGTAAGTTTTGTTTCCCTGCCAGTTTCCTCCAAGCCCTCCACGACAGACAATGCCAGATTGTAACCTAACATCTATTCCTAATCCTCTTCTTTCCAGAGAGGACAAAACTAAACTCTTTTTTTCTTTCCCTGCCTGCCTTATGGTAGGTATGGTCATGTGACGAGTTCTCGCTTATGAAATATAAGTAGAGGTCTACTAGGGGATTCTTGAAAGCTTTTTTGTTGATCCTTTTTTAAGTTTTTTATTTCTTCCATGACTTAAAGAGAGACAGAGAGACAGCAATCTCAATAGGGCCTTAACACCAAAATCCACCCCCAGCAAGCTCCAGGTGATGGGCACATCATGCTCGGTATACTCAGGGAGGTCTCTGGGCACAAACCCAGAGCCTTCCAACATGGGTCAGCCTTACAGAGTGCCATGTTTTAGTTCTGCACCATCATCCAGTCCAGCTTTTATTTTCTTGATAAAAAGAAATATTTGGTGTTCCTGTCCCTCCCTTTCTCTCCCTGCCTGGAAAATGAATGTGATTCCTGGAACTGCAGCAGTCATTTTGTAACTATGAGGAAAAACCTAAGAAATTCACAGATGCCAGTCCTGGTAATATGAAACCACCAAATCAAAAGCAAATGCTCTAAGCCTTCTCATCATTATGTGACAAGAATAAACCCTTTTTGTTTAAGTCACTCAGTCACCAGCAGACAAATGCCTGATATGCTCTCCAACTCCCTTTGACTCTGAGCACACACAAAAGAGCACAGATTTCCCCAGGAGGGAAGGCGAAGATTGTAGGACACCAAGGGATGCCAGGCTGCCAGGCTGCCAGGAGGGAGGAATTACAGGGCTTTTGGCACGCCACATTTCCCCAATGTGATTGAATTTCTCTTTTTATAGCTTATTTATTTCTTCCATGAGAGAGAATAGAGACAGAGAGGATAGAGACACAGAAAGGGACACTCCCAACAGGGTCGTCATCATGGCCTTAGCTGGCCCAGAGCCCAGGCAAGCCATGTATGCCCAGTGTGCTTAGAGAGGTCCTGGAACAAAACCCAAGACGTTCCCTGTGGGGGTCCAGGTGTATTGCCATCCCACCACCACCTGGCCCTATCCTCAAACTGCTGATGGGTTTGTTTTCATGTAGAAATAAGGAAACGGGAGCAACTAATTCAAATGTTCTGGAGACTAAGATCTTCCCTCACCCTAACCCCCAACTCATTTGGCAATAAGAGAACGGCCCTCAAGTCCGGAGACCTGTTTCCTGTTCTTAATTCTGCTCATCGTGGCACCTCAGACTTCCCCCTTTACACCTCAGTCTTCCTCACTGGAAAGGAGACCGCGTTCTGCCCATCTCAGTGAGGCTCTCGGAGGGTAAACGGGCCACACTACATGTGAAACACTGCTGGAACAAAGGTTCCAACCGAATTCAAGGTGTTGTTTTGACTTACTACTTCCCTGCGGTTTTTGCCATTTGAAAATCTGGGCCAAAAGACAAATCTGTGACTCTGTTACTTTGAACTTAAAATGTAGACTCGCTTGGCATTCTTCAAACAGTACCTTTAAAAATGAGTGCAAGTTTACAGTCGTTCGGGGCTTCCAAATAATGAAAGGGGTTAAGTTCTTCATTCAAGACTGTTTGAAAACCTGAGTTTAGTGGTGGGTCTCTGGGGTTCTGGAAAGGGCAGGTCAAACCCCACCCCACAGAGTCTGATGAAGGTAGCCTGGAAAACAGCCAGGAAAGAATCACAGATGAAAAGGAAAAGCCAGGAGTTCCTCTGGGCTATAAGCAGGGCCATGGGTGTGCTGGGGTTTCTCCCCCTCCAGCTTTCCTCCCAACCATTCTAGTCCACCACGGCATGGGTCCCCTGCTGTTGGATCAGAAATGCGTAGGTCAGGAGTGGCTGAGATATCAAACCTAGGAAATCAACGGGCTGTCCTGGGAGCGTGAGGGCTGCAGGTGCCCTCGGGGGAAAGGCATGGAAATGACCACCAAATGCCAACCTGCCCCCTGCTCAGTCGGAAATGTCTTGCCCCTAAATCTCCACGTGGGCAGGAGAGGTTGGGGTGAGGGGTGAATCCCTTCACCCTGACACTCTCGTCTCCTTATCATCCCTTCCTCTGCTTCTAGCAAGGAAGGGGGAAATGAAAGAGGAAAACTTGAAAGAGATAATAAGAAAAATACCCGTCCAAAGAAAAACAAAACTCTGGGGGCTCACAGTCAGGGGCTCGCTGGCACAGGGGCAAGGTCACTGCCTGGCCCTAGGACCCTGAGCCTGGGCTCTCCACCAGGGCCACGGCAGGGCCCTCCCTGTGGGCTCCACCTGTCTTCCCACTCTGAGGCCAATCCTGACTCCATGAAGGAGGGCACAGATCAGGGAAGTTTCCAGCACATGCTGCCAGGCCTCAGCCTCAGCACAGCCCCGACTCCACGCTCCCGCTTTGTTCCTATATTTGGTCCACGTTCCACAGCAGGTCCCAGTGTGCGGGCCAGCACCATCCCCAGGGCCGCAATCCTCCCACAGGCCAAGCCCAGCAGCCCCAAGCACAGACCTGGAGTCAGGCTGCTGGGCTGATGCCCCGGCTCTGCCGCCTACAAGCTGTGCGACTATGGGTGAGGGGTTTTTGTTGCTTAATTTTTTGTTTGTATTTCTTTGATGTTTTTTGGGTTTTGTTTCTTTTTTGAGAGAGGTTTTTGCCTTAGGGCATGTACGCTCACCAGAGAGAGAGAGAGACAGACACAGGGAGAGAGAAAGTGAGAAATCACCCTGTAATCCTTTCTCCTTCATTCTCCTCCTGGGATCTTGGACATGCATGCACGTGCGTTGGTGTGATTCTCAAGCCTCAATGAGACAGACACTTCAGGGTTTTAGTTAAGGGGAACAGACACTTTAGGCAAAATGAACATTATGAAGACACCTTAAAATATAGTTGTTGCATTTTGACATACATAATCTCACACTTATCCATTTTGTAGGTGACGGATCTGAAAAGCAGAGGCCTCACAGGTCAGCTCTTTATGTGAGTTTCCGCTAGCTTCCTCCACAACACGCCCTTTCTGTTCTTCTGCAGTGAATCTGACCTTTGTCAAGTCCATTTTTTGCTTTCTTTTCCTTCAGGTCACTGACTTCCTTCACCTCTCAATGTTCTTATGACCTGAACAGTGTTAACTAAGAAACCAGCAGTAAAAGACTGCTCTTCCCTTTACCCTCCCAGCCTCTGCTAACTAATACTCTACTTCTAGAGGTTGACTGCTTCAGAATCACGTATGTGTGAGGTCATGCAGTTTTGTTTTGTTAGAAACTGTGTTACAAGAGAGCCAGACCACAGGGTAGTGGTAAAGCATGATGCCCTGTGAAGCTGACCCACGTGGGAAGGTTCTGGGTTTATATCCAGAGACTTCCCTAAGCAGGCACATGCCCATGAGCGGGGACTGGCTGAGAGTTAGGCTGGATTGGGCTTCAAAACCCTGTCGAGGTCACTGTCTCTCTCTCTCTCTTGCTCATGAAAGGAATAAATAAAGTTTAAAATTGTTAAAATTTGTGTCACTGGTTTGTGACACGGTTTCAAAGACATAGGTTGTTTTCCTAAGGTTCTTGAGATAGGTGCCGGTATCTCAGTGTAAAAATCTAATTTTGCCATTGAAAATGAGGTTATCCTGATTGTCTGGTACCCCAAAGAGGAGTTCAAACAACCTCACCTGCAACATGTGGTAGCTCACAGTCACTGTCATGAAAGCACAGATCAATAATGGATGAAAGCCATTCCCATGACCTATACTAACTAGTCAAATCATTCGTTAGTACTTAAAGATGGATAACCAAATCAAAGCAAAACAGAATGGAAAACCAAGGACCACCATGCATTTGCCTTTGTTTATTTTGTGATGTTTCTTTTACTCAAAGAGAATGCAGTTGGGGTTGATCTTTTGGAAGATTGTACTAAAAAATGTTTTTAATGTTTTCTGTTGTCTGAATTTATTTTGAAAAAATACTACATTCACAACAAAGAACTATGAGAAAGGAGAAATTCTTGTATTGGTGATTATTATTGCTGGAACAAGCAATTCAGAGCAAGAGATAAAAGAAAATAGAATAAAAGATTCCAGAGAATAGAGCGGATAAAGCAAAGAGATGGAAGATGCGGTAGGAAACTCTAGTTCCAGGTGGACTGGTCCACAGGATCAGTTACATAATAGTTCCAGAAAGAGAAGAGAGTAAAATAGAGGAAAGGAGGTAAGAAGTGACAGAAAAAGTACTTCTGAACTTGAAAAAGTTGGAAGCCTTTAACAGAAAGGGCCTGCAATGCTGACTGATATGAATGGAAAAAATCCAGTAAGTAGATTTACCCTTATTAAAAAGTAATAAACTGGGAATAAAAAAAACCCTAAAGCACCTGAGAGAATAAAACAAAACACAAACAATTTTGTCTATATAGAATCAGAGTTATTTCAAGTGAAACAAGGCAGGCACAGAAAGATGAATACTGTATAATCTCACTCACATATGGAATCTAAAGCAGTGACCTCATAGAAGTTTGAAAGCACTTCAAAAATTTTGTGTAAAAATAGAATTAAAAGATAAGAAATAGGGGGTCAGCAGGTGGTATGGTGGTTAAGACACTGGGTGCTCCAACATATGAGTGTGGAGGTAGTGGGGTACAGAACCTGCCTCTGCCGCTCCCTGGTAAGCCATGTAACCTCAGGCAAGGGCTTTGACTGCCAGGCCTCAGTCTCCCCGATGATGACATGGGGCTAATCACAACACCTCCCTGTGGGGCTGTCATAAGGACTAAAGAATGACTACATGAGAAAGCACGTGCAGAGGTATCTACCACAGTGCACGTGTGTAAAGGATATTAAATGATAGGTATTAACATCAGTGGTTCTCAAACTTGGAGATTCTCAGGAAGCGACAGCCCTTCTCCCAAAGCATGATATCCTCTTGGGTTTGTCCACAATTTCTGGTCAGCCCTGAGCGCCTTCTCTCGCAATACGAAACACTGGAGCAGGCCGAACACCGGTGCCAGTAATGCAACGCTCTGTGAGGCTGACCCACGTAGCGAGGTTCCAGGCTTCCCATCCGGACACTTTCCTGAATGTGCTAGACATCTGTGTGCCCATGATCCAGGCCGGCTGAAGCCCAGGGTGGATTGTGGAGTGAGGACCCTGCTAAGGGTGCTTCTCACACTCTCTCTTGCTCATGGAAGGAAGGAAGGCAAGAAACTTAAAAATAATAATAATAAACCATAAAAAGAAACCCTAGCATGGCCAACAGATGGCAGGGAGATTAAAGTGCCAGATCCCACAAAGCCAGCTCCATGGTTCGAGTCTCAGACCCAGCAGCTTGAAAATCACGTTGGGCTGGGCGCATGTGCATGTGTGCCCAAGATCCCAGGAAGAGAATGAAAGAGAAGGGACTGTGGTGAGGCCATCCTCCTGGGGGAAGATTTCTCACATTCCGTCTTGCTCTCTCTCTCTCTCTCTCTCTCTCTCGTGAATGTACATACCCTATGCCAAAAACCTCTGAGAAAAGAAAAGAAAATCATGCTGGGTGTATGTGCATGTGTGCCCAAAACCCCAAGGGGAGAATGGAGGAGAAGGGACTGCAGTGTGGGTGTGGCCATCCCCCTGCAGGAGTGATTTTTCCCTCTCTCTCTCTCCCCCTCTCTGTCTCTCTCTCTGGCAAGTATACAAACCCTATAGCAAAAACTGAAAGGGAAAAAGAAGGAAATCTCAAAGTGGTCCCACTCCCGAGGTGACCCAATCATCTGCACCCCCACACATACACCCTCATCTCTTATAAGGCTCCTCCCCTGCCGCCTAGTCTTCAGCTGTCCCCATGTTAGTCACAAACCTCACTGCTTGTCCTGTCTCCTCCCCCCAGCATACATGCTCTGATGCCAAACCCACTCATGCCCTGGCCGTGACCGTTCAGCCTGGCTGCCCCCTCACCTTCTCCCAGTCTCCCTGCCACCGTATTTGCATTCAGTGCTTGTCAGAGGCTCGGAGATTTATAGCATAGGGCTGAGGTTATTAAAACCCACATAAGCACAGGAAGACGCCTCACACACTGAGAGGTAAACTCTTTGCTGTGGCTTAATTACGCACAGATGTTGTGAGGGGGTGCTAGTGTGCAGAAGCAATCTATCTCCAGTTTTAAGAGCTGAAGTGGGTTCGCAGCATAAAATTCACTTCCCGCATGTTATGTGTTTAGGCAAAATTAATTACTCCGGAGCTTTAATTCCACCACTGTCTTAGGAATGGTGCGTGAGTTTTGGAGGCATCAGGTCAAATGGGTACATTAATTATTTACCCATTTAGCTTCCTCGTTTCAAAAATTTGTGTTATTATTATTATTATTACATGTCTTGGTCTAGCAATTGCTGGTTGGCCCCTGCCAGTGGACGATTTGCTGTTTCCATGGGAACAGTGGAGATGGTTCTGTTTGTCTGGCTCATAGTTCTGGCTCTGAAGGCCACCCCTGCCAGGGAAAAGGCAGCAGAATAACCTGAGATGAGCTCCAGTCTCAGGGTCAGAAAACAGAGTTGCTAGCCCTCCTTCTTGAAGACTGTCATCTGTAAAATGGGATGATGGCTGTTGGAAGGATCCACTGTTCTTCAAGCAAGTACTTGAATGGCACTCAATGCCTGACCAGAAGAAATATTCCATTGTTACCTACCCCTCTGTACTACCACTTCTTACAAGCCCCCTCTGAGTTCTTTATCCTGGGTGGAATGACGCACTTCCTCTTGGGAATGCACAGAAACATAAAGCAGTGCATGTAATGGCAATAACCAATCTGCACCGTAACAACACATTCGTGCATTTGCTCCCCCAGGAGATGGGAAGTTTTGCAGGATAAGGATTAACCCCTGGCTCCTAGGACAGCAATAGGCTCTGGAAAATGCTCAGTAAATGTGAAATAAAGGAATGGGGGAAAAAATAGGATATGTAGGTAGAAGCGTATTTTATACTATAGAGTATTGTGCTAATTCGTTTACATTATTATTTGTCTGGGAGAGCTAAGGTCTCATTGAACTGGTGGCTTGAACTTCAAAGATGGGACAATGCTATCGGATCTAGTCTGCATATCTGGATTTACATGCACAAGAGGGTCTGTACCTTCATGTCAGGGCAGTAATATGCTTTAGAACAAAAACATGTGACCAGTGCAGTGTCACAGTGGTAACAATGCTCCATAATGCCGAGGCCACACAGGAAGGTCCCAGATTCATGTCCCGAGGTATCCCTGTACTCACACGGGGTGCATGCACATGTGCCTATAATCCCGGATGGCTGAGACTGAAGGTGGATCCTGGCACGAAGAACCTACTGGGGGCGTGTGCACAGTCTCTGCTCTCTTTCTCTCATGGAAGAAATAAATGAACATGTTAAAAAAGAAAACACAAATTTGTTCCAGTGTAATTGTTATATTAGAGAACAGTTTGATCATAATGCACATTTTGCAGTTGTTTATGTACAATGTCATCCATGAGAAGCACCGGGAGACAGAAAACTGCAGCAGCCAAGCTGTGCCACAAGGGGCCACACAAACACACATGCCAAAACATCACTGCTGGGGGATACATGAGCACATACACTGAAACATCACTGCAGGGGGACCCGTGAACACACATACCGAAACATCACTGCAGGGGGATCCGTGAACACACACACCAAAACATCACTGCAGGAGGACCCGTGAACACACACAACCAAAACGTCACTGCAGGGGGACCCATGAACACACACACTGAAACATCACTGAAGGGAGACACATGAGCACACACAACGAAACATCACTGCAGGGGGACCCGTGAACACACACTGAAACATCCGTGCAGGGGGGAAACACAAGTATACTCACTAAAACACCACTGCATGGAAACACATGAGCACACATGCCAAAACATCACATATGGGGACACAACAAACACATGCACCAAAACACCACTGCATGGGGACACAAGAGCACACGCACTGAATATCACTGCAGGGGGAGACATGAGCACATGCTTAAATGTCACCACAAGGGGATACACAAACACATGCCCTGAAATGTCACCACATGGGGACACACAGACACACACACCAAAACATCACCACGTACAGATGCATCACCAGCACCTAGTGTTACAAATCTCCCTCTGATTCCACACGACCCTCCTTCCTCCACCTCACAGTGACTCCCAGGCGGCAGCCCTCCAGATACGCACTGCCACAAGCAGATCTCAAGGTGAAGTGCCACAAGTATTGCACTCTCGGTATTCATCACATGTAAGTCTACGCTATTGTTCTATCAGTGCCTGTCCTCTTCTGTTCCTGTGTCCCTGGTGAAGTTGCGTACCACCAAGCCCCATTTTCCCCATGAGCCTCATGCTTTCTGCCGTGCGATTTTGCATACTGTGGTGATGCCTGGATCACATGTGCTGTTTCAGAGTAAAGGCACTATCTAGTAAATGAGTGCATGTAATGTGCACGTGTTTGGAACAGCGCCAGAGGAAGGCGGCATTAGCTATCATCATCATCGCCGGCAACGTCGCCATCACCCCGTGGTTCACGGAGGCAGAGACATGGCGTGTAGGCCCTGAGTGGCACTCGGTGTCTCCCAGTTGTAGATTATTCAATAAACATCTGTTTAATCGAATCACAGGTCAACAATCACACTGGTATTTCTTTGTAAATTGCCTTCAAGGGGCTATAATGTGCATCTCCAGCTACAAATCATGCATCCTCAGTAAGACAACTCATGTCCTACAAGGGAGGCTACTTGGACAGGGGGGACCAACCCCCTGCACTTTTCCACCAGACCGCTATGTCCTGACTGTCCCGCCTCTCCTACCTTTAAGAAGTCAAAGTGCTTGAGCATTTGGGCCACTTTCTCAGCATTCCTCCCTTCATTGAGGAAATCTAGCTCCAACGGCAGGTTCTTCTTGGCTTCATCCCCCAGCCACATAAACTCGAATTCAGGAAAGAGTTGCTTCACGGCCAGGACGAGCACCTGAAACCCACAAGCACTCGGTCAGTCAGCCCACAGCACCCACCAAGGGAGGTTCGGTGCCTACCCTTAGCCCACATCCAATCCCCATTTATAGATGAGAAAGTTGAGGCTCTGAGAGGAAGTACAGAGGAGTCTGCCCAACTCAAAACCTTGTTCTCAAGCCCTTTCCTGATCTGCAGCTGTCAATACTCACAGACCTGTCACTGCTCCCAAATTTGTGCATGGTCCCATTTTCAAAGCACTGGGGACCAGGGAGTGCTTCAACCATAACTCAATTTTTACTTTTTATGCTGAGTGGTTGGTACCTGAGCATTTGAAATATTTTCTACAGTTTCTGTGTAAAATTTTGTTAAACAAGAGAGATTTTTGCTGTGGGGTGCATGCACTCACCAGAGAGACAGAGACAAGAGACAGAATGCGAGAAATCACCCCCCAGAGGAGATGTCCATGCCACAATCCGTTCTTCTCCAGTCTCCTCCTGGGATTTTGGGCACACACGCACATGCACCCAGCATAAGTTTTAAGCCACCGGATCTAGGACTCAAACTGTGGTCGACTACATGGGAGTCCAGCAACATAACCATTATGCCATCTGCTGGTCCTGATAATAAAAATTTTAATTGGAATAAGAAAACAAGGCTGGGTAAGAAAAAAAGGATTTGACCACTCAGATGAAGAGCTTGAACTGGTGGCAATTTGGCCCAACTATGGATTCTTGAGTGATGCCATGATGAAGAAAGGGGTTTTGGCAGGCTTATCTGGCATTCAGGTGTCAGTTTAATAATAAGCAGAGATTCAGAGCATTGTGGTATGTGCAGAGCACACCATGGCTCCTCCATGAGCAGGGACCTCATGCTGAGGCTATCCCACCACCAAGACCTTAGATACAGGACAGTCTCACACATTCACAGACAAAGGCAATGCAGTGCAAGCAAGGGTGATACCAAGGACATGGCAAGTGTTCCGAATTCTGGGAGGGAAAGTAGGCAACCCTCTGGCTCTCTGGCATTTCACGCTAGACCGGGAGGAAACCACTGGCTGCTCATCACAGTGGTTCTCGAGACAGATTACAGTCAAGTTCTCCAACAGCATCCATCTCCGTCCCTGGCTACAACAGAAGGCACTGAGCAAGAACTAAAAACCCGTGGGCCTGCTGGTATCAAAAGACCTTCCCCTTTCAACCTGCCCAGAACAACACACTGATAGCCTGGCCTAAGAGGCTTGCCCTAGGCTTCTCTTTGCCCTGATCTATAATACCATGCCTGACACCATACTAGGTACACGTGAAACAAAAGCAAGCAATCAAAAGTGAGGTCGTGCACTATGAGGCATTTGCAGCTTTGTTTTTAAACCCAATGGCCCGGAAGACGTACCAATGCCATTCTAAAAGAATCGGCACACAGGGTTATTACACTCACTGTCTACCAAGACCTTTTTTAATTATATTAGGCTGCAGTCTAATTTCTTCGCAGCCTTGTCTAGTCTTCCGTGGGCCGGACCTGTGACCTTAGGATAATGGATTTAGTGTACGCTTTGTTTCTGCTCATGTCACATGGAAGTAGAAGCAAGAGGTGGCGATAGGGACACCTGAACGAGGCAGCCTCAGGCACCACATCTCCTCAGGTGCCCTCAGATGCCCTAGGCTGTCACCACGGCAGGGACAGAGCAGGCACACGGGGAATAGAAGCCATTCCTACAGGCCCAGGTGGAGGACTCACATGCCACCACAGATACCTGAATGAACGCCACTCTCTGGGATCCAAGTTCAGGCAAGAAAATTTCTACCCCGTTTTGTTCTCATCTAAATTCACAGGACTTTGATGGGGAAAAGCAAGGAAGGAAGTCACCACGAGGTTCCCCAATGAGCTCAATTGACACTTACCGAGTTCCCCAGGTAACTACCCTGCACCAGGCACTGGTATACACAGCCAATGGTTCTTAGCTTTGCCGGGGGTCCCCATCCCCTTCACAGGAAGTCACCAAATCAAAAACTTGATACCAGTACAAAGCCCAGAAAATGCACAGAGCAGTTCTGCACATCATTCAGAGGGTTCATCAGCTCCTTGGAACTCACCAGCTGGGGAGGAGGGTCAGGTTAGGAGCCATCTGGTCCAAGGGGTCTAGGCTGCTGCCGTTTTAGGCTTGTTCTGGCTTTTACCTGCAGCCTACCTGGGAGGGTGAAGCTTCTGGCCAAACAATAATCCCTCATCGTTTATTGTATAGTCAGTTATTGGTAAAATTTTTAATTATCATTAATATCCAAACAGCCTGAAAAGTACTTTAAAGATTCTTCTGTTACTAATCAATTATGTAATTAGTCATTGCTACTACTATTGGTTATTCTTAATAGCTAATATCATTAATCATACGAGCAGACACAGATTTTACTGATTAATATTAATTGTTCATAACTAATTAGCAAACTAATTCATAACCCCAATTGAGGCTGGCCCCATGGTCTAATGGTTAAGGGAACAGGATTTCACATGGCCAACCATGCAGGCCACATCCTACTCTGGCAGTCTGAAAAACATGCCTAGACTGTGCCTGCATGCCCCAGATCCTGACAAGATGGAGAAATGGAGAAGCCCACTGGAGGCTCTGTCTCTCTCTAATGAGTGCATGCACCCTCTGGCCAAAATAAAAACTTTACATTACTCAGAAAATGAGTTTCTAGGGGCCAGATGGCGGCACAATGGTAAAATAGGACTCTCTGCAAGGCTGAGTCACATGGAAAGGTTCTGGGTTTATGTCCAGAGATCTCTCTGAGTATGCCAGGCACATGTCTGCCCATGATCCAGGCTGGCTGGATCTAAGGGTAGACCATGGCACGAAGATCCTTTTAAGGGTACTGTCAGTCTCACTCATTCAGGAAAAGAAGGAAGGAAGGAAGGAAGATTTTTCAGAAAATTGGTTTCAGGGCCAGCAACTGGTGTGGTGGCTAGGGTGCTGGACTCCCACATGACCAATCACAGTTTGATTCCTGGACCTAACCACTTGCTTTCTCACTCTCCTTTTCTTTCTCCCCCCACCCTCTGGTGAGCTCATGTGCCCTATAGCAAATTTTAAAATAATAATAACAATGTATTAAATTAATAATTCTTAGAAGAAGAAAATTGGTTTCTAAAGCATTCTGTGCACATGGTGGTGACTCCCTTGGTTACTTTAAAATGAGAGGGCCTGCCTGGATGTAAGTCTTTGGTTCTTAGCTTTGTGGGGGATCCCCATCCACTTCACGGAAAGATCAATCCAAGGGACCAACAGTTAGCCTAATGGTTATGTCGCTGAACTCCCATGTAGTCAACCGCGGTTCGAGTCCCAGACCTGGTGGCTTAAACCCATGCCAGGCACATGTGCGTGCGTGCCCAAGATCCCGAGAGGAGAATGGAGGAAAAGAGATTGCGGTGTGGCCATCCCCCCTGGGAGCAGCAGGGCAGGGCGGAGCGGAGGGGGGTGATTTCTTGCTTTCTATTTCTCTGTGGTGATGCACCCTATACCAAAAACCTCTCAAAAAAAAAAAAAAGAAAGAAAGATCAATCCAAAAAACTTGATACCAACTATGAACCCCAGAAAATGCACATATATAATTTTGCACATAACTCAAGAGGTTTACCAGCCCCCGGAAATCTACTGGTTAGGGAGGAGGGTCAGGTTAAGAACCATCTGATCCAAGAAGTCTGGGCTGCTGCCATTTTAGGCTTTTGTTGGTTGAGGAGAGCAAAATACAATTTCCCAGTTTCACCTTCTGTTTTCACTCAGTTCCCCTCTTGAAAGCCAGCCCTAAGTAGATTCCTTTCAGTTTTTCTTTTCGACAACAGATGCAATCAACAAAAATAAAACAGGTGTTGTTATCAATTCGACTTTTTGAGTTTCCTCCCAAAATGTATCTTCTCCATAAAATTCTTCTAATGGCCAATGTTTTTACCAGCGCCTACCACATAGTCTTGACACCCAGCAGATGTTTATTGAACACTCACGTGAATGAATAAGTTAAAATAAAATAAATGAATAAACAAATGAATATTTCAAAAGGTTTATCTTCTCCTCTGAGATAATTATATCTTCACATTTGTGTTATCCAAGTGGATTGAGTTTTTCTGTTCTTAAGACTTTGGTGGGAAAAGCAATTGCTAACTTTTGGGGAACCACATGCAGTCTCCAAATGTCTGAGTTTTCTACTTGATCTGGGACCTCGTGAACCAATCTAGGTGTCCTGGATCATGAATACTTCTTTTGAGGGAAAATAATAAAACTATTTTCCTGTAGGGCCCTTGGCTCACAGAAGGAAAAAAATCAATTGTGGGCCACACAGAAATATAATGAAAAAATGGAGAGTCACATAGAAGTTTGAGAACTACTGACTATTACTTGTAATAGTTAAAAAATGAAAAGTATCACTTTTTTAAAAGAGGTTTTTGCCTTAAGGTGCATGCAATCACCAGGGTGAGAGAGTAAGTGAGAAGGAAAGTGAGAAATAATCCCCCCAGGGGGGATGGCCATGCCACAATCCCTTCTCTTCCAGTCTCCTCCCAGGACCTTGGGCACACACGCACATGTGACCGATGTTGAGTTTCAAGTCACTGGGTCTGGGACTCGAACTGTGGTCAGCCACATGGGAGTTCAGCAAGCAACATAACCATTACCACCTGCTAGCCCCAAGAATTATCATTCTTTAGTACCTACTGCAAGTCAGGCACCGTATGAGGTCCTTTATGTACAGACTCTCATTTAACCCTTTTCTTGCCCTTTTTGCAGAGAAGGAAACAGGTTCCAGGAGGTTAAAATACTAATATTTCTCAGAGTCACAACAGTTTGTAATTGTCAAAACAGGATCTGGACCCTGGGTTTTCTTGTTCTTCCTTTATGCAGCCTTACCTCATGCAATATAGTACAAGACAATACCAGAGGAAGTTCCAGATAAGGCCTAGAAAGAGCTTTGTAAAGTGTAAAATGCAACTGAAATGCGAGTTACTGTTATCACATTATTGTACATTATAAAA